TTCTGCTTAAGGGTTTAGTTTAGCATTAAAAAAAGATTTTTTGGGGCAGTTTTTTTTCCAAAACAGAAAGAATTCCCCAGAAGATCACTTTCTGTTCCGTTCCATAGTCATCCATCCTCACTTCATCAGCCTAAGCTGTCTTTTATCCTAGCTTGAAGACCTTCTCTTGCTTTTTTCAGGGATTTTGCGGTATCCCCGAAATCAGCAAGACATATTCTTCCTATTCACCATCTCTTCAGGACGGTCTAGGTCCGATTGGACCCCCCAGTGGCAAAAATTCCAGCTGCTGTCTCAGAACATCGAGACTGCATGTCCGTACCATGGGGACATTGGCTCCTCTTACTCCTGCTTCTTATCCTAGTACAGTGATGGCTAACTTTTTGGACCGAGTGCCCAAAGCACATGTGTGCACGAATGCGTGTACGCATAAACCCCCAAAATGCAATGCACGTGTGGCCCAAGCACATGCACTTTGTGCATGCGTACACAGGTCCCCCACATGTGCCCAGCCCCCAAGCATGCGTGGCAGGGACCGAAGACCAGCTGGCTGACGGGAGGCACACCGAATGTGCAGTGGAGCTGAACTGGGACAATGGCTTATATGCCACCTTTGGCACATGTGCTATAGGTTCACCATCATGGTCCTAGAACAGTGGTTCTCAACCTGGGGATCGAGACTCCTTTGGGGGTTCAACAACCCTTTCACAGGGATCGCCTAAGACCATCAGAAAACACATATTTTCGATGGTTTTAGGAACCGAGAGACCAATTTTTTGGTTGGGGGGTCACCACAACATGAGGAACTGTATTAAAGGGTTGCGGCATTGGGAAGGTTAAGAACCACTGTCCTAGAATTTCAGTAGAATATATTAAATCAACATTATTTTTAAAACTTTAAACTTGCATTAATAAATAGTTTAAGTTAGCATACTCTGAATATCAACACTTGATATCAAGAATGACCCTGATATCAAGAGTGATTCATTTTTCTTCTGTATTTTAGAACCATATATCAAAACTTAAAGAATTGCTGGAAATGCAGTTTGATGTAAGTATTTTTCACTGAATTTGCTATTGGGACAAATGGTCTGTACTCTACGCAATCTCTATAAATTTTTTCCCCTCCTTTCAGTGTTCCAATGGAACGGGCCCTCCTGAGCTACAGATTCTGAATGAGTGTACTCCAGATCAGGTTAGTAGGGTGAAAAATTATACATTATTTGAAGATTCATAAATGGGCCTCCGCATAAGAGCATTTGTTCAGATTTCCCATCTTTATTGAAACCAAACATTTAATCTTGAATCCCGTTTGTATCTGATCCAAATACAAGTGATATTGTGGCAATGAATTACTTGAGCAATACTGTGTTTCTTTCCTTTCCTTTAGCTGGAAGATTTATGTTCACTGCTCAAACTCTCAGATTGCCCAGAGAATGAGCTTCTGCAATTCTGCTGCTGGATAGTAGCGCTTTCACCTGAACTTGGCTACAAGAAGGCAGCAATACTTGCTGAAAAGCTTTTCTTACCTCGGGTTTGTATTAAGAATCTGAAACAGGTAAAGAAGAAAAGCCTTTGGTTAAAACATCAGTCATTTATGGATTTTATATTCATCTCTGAATATAAAACTCTTATATTGAGGAAGCTTTAAGAAAAGCAATTCCTTGAATGTTCATTATTTTGACCTTCTGCATAAACAGTGATTATATGTTTTATGTTATTTTTCATATATTTAGATGTCATCCTAAATCATTCTGAATAAAAGCCAAAATACCATATTTTTCAGAGTATAAGACACACCTTTTCCCCTCCAAAAAGAGGATGAAGTGCATCTTATACACTGAATACAGCATTTTTGGCCTACTGAAACACTGCCCCCTTTGCAAAAATGGACGTGCAGAGGGTTTGAGAGGCTTGCAAAGTGCTCCTGGGCGCTGGGGAGGGCAAAAAAAGAAGCAGAAAATGGGCCATTAAAAAAAAAAAAACCTGAGGCGTGCAGAGGGTTTGGGAGGAATGCAGAGTGCAAAAACTTTTTTTAAAAATGTACCTCTTCAAAATCATGGTGTGCCTTATACTCCGGTGCGTCTTATAGTCCAAAAAATACAGTAGGCATTATATGGTATAAGTAATAATGTTCCCATCAGTTGTGGGTTCCGGATCCCATTGCAACTGGTACGGTGCAACGGGGTCCGGCTGCCACCATATGAACACGCGCAGTGCTCACATGTGTGCAGGCACGCATGCGTCCTTACCTCCTGCGATGCTCCGCGACTCCTTCGCAATACTCCAGCAGCTTGGTGGAGCGTCGCGCAGGTGCCGTATGCTGCACGTGCGTGCACAGATGGCCCGTTTCCTTCAAATACAGCTAAGGAACAAGGGCGGGCCCTCCAGAGCACCATACCGGTACGCCCGTACCAGGGCGTACTGCCTGAAACCCACCACTGGTTCCCATTGATATATATCACGCGAGTATTATGCCCATCTACTGATAATGTCTATCCTAGCAATACATCCTTTAGAAGTCATGTGCTCTCTGCACACCTACCTCTTATTATAGGTATATATTGCATATTTATTTAAATATTCTTGGTTTTGAAGACATAAATGAATACATCCTTGCATAGATTAATAAGTAGGATATGAGAAAGAAAGAGAGAGAGAGAGAGAGAGAGATCAGGAAAAGAATGCTGGAACATGCAAATAATTTAGATCAAACTACAGAATTTGTGGAAATTGATTGGGATAAGAAAAAGTCAGGAAAAAGAGAAACTAAATCAGGACAATTTGTCTGGTAGATGTTCTCCCTGTATGTTGCCATAGAATGATTCCTCCTCTTCTGCATATTATATGTTGGAGGACTATTGCTTAATAAGCAAATATACAAGTTTTCCAGTTTGTCCATAAATGATCAACACTAAACTATAATTTGAAAAACATGTACATAAATTAATTAGTGTCAGCTCTAAATACATTTATAAGTTGCCTTTGTCCTGAAAAGCAACGATCTTATTAGCATCTATGTGTATGGCAACATTTATGTGCATGCCAATATCCCCTTCTCATTTTCCCACTTCAGGGAATGCCTCTTTAGGGATTACTTCTAATAGGCCATTCACATATTGACTTCCACCGCCAAGCAAAACAACCTGAAGAGTTTTTTTCTTCCTTTCAGCATCTCTTATTACACTCTGGCTTAGTTAGCATAATTATAAGCATATAGCACTAAACCACAAACAAAATAGGTGGATTCATCAACGCTAAATAGTAGCTTAACGCAGTATGTAAACCTAGCCAGTGTTTATTATCCAGGCAGTATTTATTTTCTTTCTGTCTTCTTGATCTGTAGGTTCTTTCGCTGACTGAGACAGCTTCCTGGCCTCTCACAACTGCCCTGATGATGTTCTGCTCCAAATATCCTCGCCCAGTCTGTTGCACTTTAATTTCTTCTATTGTGCAAGTTCCAGGGCAAGGTGAATTTATAATTCTTCTTTAAATAAGGTCTACTTGGTTTTTCCTGATTTTTTGTGAGAATATAAACTGTGAGATTATAAAGAGGGGGGATACTGGCCCAGTGAGGATGGAGCTTGTCCTCCTGTATTGCATGGGGTGTAACCCAGAGGTGTTCAGTGTTGACAACTTTAAGACTTGTGGACTTCAACTTCCAGAATTCCCAACCAGCCTGGCTGGCTAGAGTAATGTAGGATTTGAAGTTCAGAAGTTGCCAACACTCCTGGTGTAAGCTGTAAAGAAAAATGCAGTAAGCAGGGAAATGGAAGTGTCTTTCTTAAATTGAAATTTTCTTGAAGGACTTGAGGCTGCCAGAAAGTTCAAGTCAGGTACATCTCTGGTGGGATATTTTTAGAATCTGTAATCTGATTTTACACTTTTGCTACAATGTGTGTAGGAAAGAGAAAACAAATGACAACCACAAAAATACCTATTATAGAAACTTCATAAGAAAGCTAATAGGATGAAAATTCATAATGAGCAAAACTGTGTGAAAAATAAGAATGCAAACTTCAAAACAGGAATGATGAAAAACAAGTAAATAAAATGGGCTAATTAACAAATGAAATTATTGCAAAGCAATTTAAATGTTTTAGGCTCTTACTATTCCTTTTTTTACATCTCGTTCCAAAGCTTGTATCAGTAATTTTCTCAAAACAAAACTATTATGAATTCTTCACCTACAGTTCTTGTTTTGTCTGTTTCAAGGACTAGGTTTTCTCACTGATAACACCCTAGCAGCAAAAACAAATTCTATTTATTTTGCACAGAACTTATTGTTTTGTCTTCTATTGTGGCTTCTCCATTGCAACTCCTTGGTTATGTGGTTAATATAGAGACTTTTCGAGCACAAACCGACCAGCTGGGATGGAGATGCACTGCAATTTTTTTTGAATAAATTAAATCTTGTTTTAAAAAGTCCTGTGTCCATTAGTTTGACCTAGTTTCAGTCTTGGGAACTTTTGCAATTGTTTAAAGCACTGGGCTAATTAAAATAGCAAAATATTAACACTGCTGTACTCCCTGTCATATCTTTTGTAATACTTTTAGGCAATTTCCAAATCAGATACTTATATCATCTTGTAAAGTCATTCCACCCATTATTGTGTCAAAGCAAGGATATTGTTACATCAATAATAGCTGGATTAATAATTGGTAAATGCTAATGGCAACTAGTAGGTACTAGCCAGTCTGGCCTGACCTTTGAAACTAAGTGCGATTGGTTGTGGCTAGAATGTAGATGGGAAACCAACTGGGAATTTCAGGGTTATTGTTAAATCTGGGAAGTTGAAATAAATCCCAGATTAATGCAGTGGGAAACCATTTTCTGAATGTTATTCTTTAGGAATTAAGCTTGACTCCAATGCCTCTACATTTTGGTGATTCTTGAATGATATAAAGTGGATTTCTGAAATCTTGGTTTTTGCAGGCCTTGAACAATTGAGATTAGTATGCAAGCTAATAGAAGAATGTTTGGAACCAGAATGTGTGAAGCTGGTGTTCAGGTAAGTGGAAACACAAATGTAATACAGATAGTCCTCGGTTTATGACTACAATTGGGACTAGAATTGCAGTTGTGACCAGACCTGATTTTATGAAAAACATTTATGGCAATTATTAAGTAAATCCTGCAATTGCAGTCTGAATCACTCAGTTGTAATTATGAACCCATTATCCTGAATCTGCAGGTTTTTCCAGAAATAAGCAAAAATGATGTAAGTTATGGTCATGTGACTGTGAAGTGATGCAACCAATTAAAATGTGAGCCAATTGCCAAGGCAACATTTTACGATGCTTGGAAGTGCTTTGCAGACTGTAAAGCACCTGTTCATAACTCATGGTCATTAAATGACTGGTTGCAAGTTGAGGGCTACCTCTAATGAGACCATGCAATCAAAGACACTGGCTATTGTCTGCTCCAGAATATTCAGTTGCTACTGACATATGCACATTCAACTGAAAACTTTGTTATGGTTTTATATGAATACAGATTACAAACATATCTATGAACCACCTCATTCTTCTTGACCTCTTGTCAGCTTTCAGTACCATTGACCAGTATCTTTCTGGGTTGGCTCCAGGAGTTGGGGGTTGGAAACACAGTTTAGTGCTAGTTTTCCTCTTTCCTCAAAGGCCAGTCCCAATTAGTGTTGATAAGGAATGAGAGCTTGCAGCCCCAGTGCTGTGGAGGGCTGCAGGACTTAAGTGATCTCACTCCTTTTAGCATCTAAGTGAAGCCGCTGGGTGAGATCATCCTTCGACATTGGATGAAATATTATCAGTATACATCTCCAGCGAACTAAATGATACAGTGGGTGCTCTTTCCTGATGTCTGGAGGGGTCTGGATGGGGAACATCAGGCTTCCACTGAACCCTGATAAGACAGAATGGTTATGGGGAGGAGCTTCTCTGTGTCTGGTGATTTTCCATCTTTGGTATTAGATTGGGTTGAACTATGGAATCAGTATGTCATCTGGGATTCCTCTTGGACATACCTGCTCCATGGCAATTGTGCTAAGAGAGCCTTTGTTCAGCTTTGTGTTATGTGGCAATTGTGCCCCCTTCCAGTGCAAATATCCCATGGATGAAATTTCCCTTTTGTAGCTAAAACTTTGTATTTTGAGTTGATTTACAAGATTTTAATAATATAAAAGTTATAATTCTAGGGCATCTTCTGTAGCCAATTTTATATGTGAACCTGAAACAGTGTGGGTGAACAAGAAACTATGGTTAAATGTGATTAGTCCAGATTAGTTTTCTAATTTGTGTAAATTGAGGAGCACCTACATAATGCTAAAGAATATTACATCATCTTCTACCACTCTGGCTGATATTGTTAAGAACCATTTTTAATAGTCCTAAATTTGGTGACCAGCAGAACATCCATCTTTAATAATGTCTTTCATTGTTTTGATTCTCCCCCATCTCTTTGCAGTCATATTATAAAAGTGCCATGGACAGAAGACCTTCTCACAGTTGTGCATTCTTTGCTAGAAAGACAGGTGATTGTATGCCTTTAAAGCTTCTTAAATATAAGTAATCAAATAAATTGTATCCATGGAGTAGCTAAAGACTAGATCTCTCAAATCTAGTACGCTGTAGTTCTCTAACAAATACCAAACACAATAAGCCCAACAAGCAAATATATACAGTAATGCAAAGCAGTAACTTGATTGTGAGATGGGCAGCATGTAGCATTTAATAATAGCATTTAGGCTTATATACCACCCTGTAGCACTTTATAACAGCACTCTATGGATAATTTACAGTGTAGAAGCATTATTTGTATGTTGTCCCCAAAAATCTGGGTTCGCCTTTTACTGACTGTGGAAGGATGGAAGGCTGAGTTTAACCTTGAGCCCCATCAGGTTCAAACCTCAGGCTGTGGCAGAGTTTACTTGCAATGCTGCACTTCAACCACTACGACACCAGGGATCTTATATAAATTTTAATAAATAAATAAACCAAGGTCTGGGCTAGTTTAGCATCCAAGGAATCTTCCTTGGGTCAAACGTACTGTCCTGGTGGAGAATTCAGCTGTATAGATTGGTCTCATATTCCTCAAGCAACTGGAACTTACTTTAGGATACTTAATACCTGTTTTACCTCAATTTCTTTTATCTTCTCTTTTCAGGTGGAATTGTCTAGTGAGCTCTTCAATGTGTTGGTCCTTAATCTTTGTCAGATGGCTCAAGCGTTTGAAAGTTCAGTACATTATGCAAAACTGATTCTGACTCTGTTGACCAAATATCAAAATGATGTGAGTAATTACCCCAAAATATGGATCACCCCAACTGTTATATATTCTGGTATCATTGGTGTAACAAATCTCTTTTAATAACTTATATATAAGCATACAGAGTAGTGCACTTGTTTCATTCACTTTTTAACATTAGTTTTGATCTCTCTTGAAAAAAGAGGCCCTGGTTATTCTCAGTAGTGCAGAATTGGAATTTCTCTTGGACTGTGATTTTTTTAACAGGAAAAAAGTCTACTCCTGGCTACTCCTATGGTTCAGGAACTGGAATGCAGGAAAATGGCAGAGTTATTGAACAAAGTTAAAGCAGGATTTATGATCCACACTATTATGAATTACCTTGTATTTTGTTCTCCCTCTCTAGGTCACATTGGGCCACCAGCACCATTTATCATGTGCCCTGGACTTTAACAAAACCATCTTAAAGAAATCTCTTCAGGCTGCATTAAAGAGAGTGACTTCCAGGTGAAAAATGTAAGGAGGCTTTCTTTCTCCTGCAGTGGCTATGGAATCAAATATGCCTTAAGCGTTTGGGACAATTCTACTTTTTTTTTTATCAATTTGGTCAATGCAACTCATACTTAAGTTAAAATTTAAGTATGTTCAAGATTCAAAAACCGTTGCCTTGGATTGGTATGAGTTACCTTGAGGTAAGAGAGTCATTTCCCTACCCCGAGTTATGAAACGCAAGGGACAGGTGTGGTGAAATGCAATGCAGATTTCAGTGAATATTTTGAGAAATCTGATTAGACATGGTTATTAAATATGCGATGTAATTAATATATTTGTATTAGAGTTGCTGTTTAATATATGTATTCTGTTCTCTTGCTCTCTATCTCTGATCCAAATTGGCTCCACAACCTAAAATCCCAGATTTCTATATTAATGGATCAGCAGCACTGTGCTGAGAACACTTGATATATAGTGTTTGAAGACATTTAGGAGTAAAAAATAAGGCAACAGGCTAGAAACCGAGGTAGAAATGGCAAACCATTTCTGAAAACATTGCTAACAAAACTGCAGGAAGTTGTCCAGCAGTCACTAGGAGGCACACTGACTCAAAAGCACCAAAAAAAGTGGGGGGAAAGCCTAGGTGAAAACACTGGGATTTGTATACATTGCTTGAAAAGGGTGAAGATGTTTAGAGAATATTTGAATATTCCAGTAATTATTGCAGTAAAATAACCTTGCTAAAGAGCATGTCCTATTGAACACAGTGAGGCTTAATTTCAAGAAAACATGCCATGTAACATCCTGCAACATTCTTTACATGTTTATTCAGATATGTTCAGACTATGTCTAAAATTGGTAACATCTAATGAACATCTAATGAATATATTAATAATTGTGTTCCTTTTCATCTGTTACTTAAGAACAATGTAGCTTTCTATGAACATCAGTAAGTATGAAAATCTGCGCTACCAGAATTAACAGAATAACTGAGTTGGAAGGACCCTTGGAGGTCTTCTAGTCCAACCCCCTGCTCAAGCAGGAAACCCTATTCCATTTCAGACAAATGGTTGCTCAACCTCTTCTTAAAAATTTCCAATGTTGGAGTGCCCACAACTTTTGGAGGCAAGTTGTTCCACTGTCATGTTGAGTTTCATGTGCATATGATAGAAACATGTTTAAAAGATACATGTTATGAGCAGGTTTTTCATAGAAGTGCCTTTTAAATAACTTGATGTGGTCTGGGGGAGCAGCTTTAAGCTTCTTTTTCTAGTCTTGCTACCTTTTCTGATTATACTAAGGATTGTGACTTACAGAAAGGGATATATTGCTTTACTGATCTTAGCATTTTTGAACGGGTCTCTCAAATTTTGGGTCCTACTTTGAACAAAGCTGCAAATTGTTCTTCATGATTACAGAAGGGTGATCCAAAAGTAAGTCCTAACTTGATTTTTACGCATGCATCCAATATAAGCCCTACCCCCAAAATAAGTCCTAATTAAGACCCCGCCCACTCCAGGGTGCATGGGTAAAAATTAAGCTAGGGTTGGGATGGGGAGAGTGGAGCTGCTCTACTATTTACCTTTGGACAGTTGCAGCCAGGCCTCGCACACCTTGGCTCATTTCTTCTGCAGTTTGCAAAGCTTTCTTGAAGGCCACTGTAGCTGATAACAGAGCTTCGGATCGATCCAGAGCTCTGTTATTACTGCAAAGGCCTTCAGGAAAGCCTTGCTGGCTGAAGAAGTTCCTGAAGGCCTCTGACAGCGAAAAGGAGGCTGGGGGCAACACTTACAAGTGAGGTGAATCAGTGGATGATACACCACCACCACACCCGAAAATAAGACCTGGTGCTTTTTTGGGGTAGGGGAAAAATAATACACGGTCTTATTTTCGGGGAAACACGTATCACTTTTGAAATAAAAATAAAAATATTCACATCTAGCAAAATTCTTTTGCGGATATGTATGGTGAGGATTCTTACAATCTCCCCTCTTTGTTGAGGGGAGTATATACTTAGAAAAGTACAGGTTACAACCATTTGTTCAATAACTGTTCAAATTGACAATGGTGCTGAATGAGGGGTACTTAGAACCAGTCCTCAGAGTTTTGGGTATTGCGGCATCCCTCTAGGGTCACGATCTGGCTGCTTGGTATCTGGCTTGCAATTCTGATGTTGCAGTGAACCGCAGTCATCTGATTTCCAACAATCTGTGTGGGCTTCCAACAAGCAAAGTCAATAGGGAATTAAGCAGAAAGATAGAAGTTGCTTGTGCTCCTGCTACTTTTTCGCCTACCCATGCTCTGTTGTGCCTGCCTAGGGAATTCTGGGAGTTGAAGTCCTCCAGGCTTAAAGTTGCCAAGGTTGGAGACCCCTGCTCTGTAGGGTCTATGACAGTGATGACGAACGTTTTTCTATTTGGGTGCCAAAAGGCAGCTCGGACGATAGCAGCCACGGATGTGTCCACGCCCATAATGCAATGCCATCCCCCCGCACATGCACGCCCCACCCCCCTGTGCTCCTGAAGTCCCTGGACTTTTGGTAGGCCCGTTAGGCCATTTTTTACCTTCCCCAGGCTTCAGGAAAGCCTCGAGCCTGTGGATGGTGAAAAACACCCAAAGGGCCTACTGGAAGTTTGGAAACTTCTAGTAGGACCGTTGGGCTGTTTTTTGCCCTCCCCAGCCTCCTGAAGCTTGGGGAGGAAGAAAACGGCCCAACAGGCCTGCCAAAAGTTCGTTTCTGAACTTCCAGTAGGCCTATGGGTCCGTTTTTCGCCATCCACAAGCTTTGGAGGCTTTCCTGAAGCCTGGGGAGGGAGAAAACAGCCTCCCCCTGCCCTCCGGAAGGCCAAAAATCAGCTGGCATAGGGCAACACCTCGCATGCCTTCAGATATGGCTTCATGTGCCATCAGTTCACCATCACGAGTCTATGATAATCCCTAACAGTACCCACTACCTGTCTGTAAGTTTTAGAGCCTGCCTGTAGCTGTTGTGCCTATTTGCCCATGCTCTGTAGTACCTGCCTATGACAGCACTTGCACACCTGCCTGCCCCGCCATGGTACCCAAAGCCGCTTGCCTGTGATGAAAGATGAAGAGCCTCCCCTTTCCCTACCAGCTGCCTTATCCCTTTATCCTTTTTTATATAGTTTTTGCATATCTAAATACATTTTTGGTATCAGAACTCAACTGAGGAGACTAGTACATAAATAAAAAAACATTTTCACTTCTTACTTACATACCTCATTTGATCCCTCCTATTTAGCCCTAGCTCACATTCTATCTGAATAGATGCTATAATTAAAGGGACATCATTTCAGGGGGAAAAACTTTTCTTGAAACATATACAGATTTAATTATGCAGTAAAGTGTTACATAAAATAGTCCATGTCCCTTCCTAAGCATAGATTTTGCTCATACAAGGAAGAACGCTTGCATAAACATGAATAATTTTAACAGCAATTTAAATACAATCCAATACAATCCAATAGCAGAGTTGGAAGGGGCCTTGGAGGTCTTCTAGTCCAACCCCCTGCCTAGGCAGGAAACCCTATACCGTTTCAGACAAATGACTATCCAACATCTTCTTAAAGACTTCCAGTGTTGGGGCATTCACAACTTCTGGAGGCAAGCTGTTCCACTGATTAATTGTTCTAACTGTCAGGAAATTTCTCCTTAGTTCTAAGTTGCTTCTCTGCTTGATTAGTTTCCACCCATTGCTTCTTGTTCTACCCTCAGTGCCTTGGAAAATAGATTGACTCCCTCTTCTTTGTGGCAACCCCTGAGATATTGGAACACTGCTATATACTATATAGTATATACTATATTGTATGTTAAAATTCACATTAAATTTATTTAATTTATTTAATTTATTAAAATATATTAAAGCATCCATAGAATGGAAGATATTTGAAGCTTTTTTAAAGAAAGGACCAAAAGAACCTCAGTCTATGTGATTTATTCACAGTGTAGTTTATCTGTATGCCCTCTAGTTCATTCCAGATGTCTATTTTTGTTTGTTTGGTATTTATTTTTATTTTTATGCTATTTTAAGGCCTAAACTAGTTTTTGTCTCTCTTACCTCAAAACTGTGATAAAACAAACCATTACCCTATTTTTCGGAGTATAAGATGCACCAAGGTTTTAAAGAGGCAAATTAAAAAAAAGTTTTTGCAGTCTGCAGACCTCCCAAAAATGGCCCGTTTTTCATCAAATAAAGGGCATTAGGAAACTTATAGAGTGCTCCTGGTGGTGGGGGGGGGGGCAAATTTGAGCAAAAACGGCCCATTTTTTGCTCATTTCTGCCTTCCCCAGCCCCCAGGAGCTCTCTGAAAGCTGCCTACAAGCTATGCACAGCCATTTTGGTGAATGGGCAGGGTTTCAGGGGGCAAAAAAATAATAATACTGTAATCAGTGTCTTAAGATGCACCCAGATTTTCAGCCTCTTTTTTGAGGGAAAAAGGTGCGTCTTATACTCTGAAAAATACGGTAATTATGTTCAGTAGTATAGGCCCACAGAAAAGCCTCATTTGAAGAATTGGGACCCAGCTCTCTACATTTAAGTGGTTACAAGGTTGTATATCTTCACACAGCAGCATTGTAAACTGGTGCAGTTATTTCAGATAAAGGTACTAGAGGACTTAAAATCTCAGCTCTTAAAATTATAAATTAGTCCAACACTGAGAAATTAAAGAAGTATCCTAGGACAGTGTTTTTCAACCACTGTGCCGCAGCACACTAGTGTGCCGTGACATAGTGTAAGGTGTGCCGTGGGAAAAACACCTGCCTATAGTCAATATAGGCACAGAGTTAAAATTTTTTAACATTTTCTAATGGTGGTGTGCCTCGTGATTTTTTTCATGAAAAAAGTGTGCCTTTGCACAAAAAAGGTTGAAAAACACTGTCCTAGGAGACATCATAATTCTAAACTCAATGAAATTCTCGCCATTGGAATCCAGGTGTGCAGAGTGAGAACTAACAAAGTTTATTTTATTTTTGCGCTCCAAAAGGTGAAACGTGATTAAAAGAAGACGCTTGCATATTCCACAGAAGGAGAAAGTGAACCACTTGAAGGAGAAAGTGAACCACTTGATTCACTGGAATGTTTGTAGATATTTGATCTTAATGGAAATGTTGATTTTCCAATGTTGATATCTATGCTTGATTCAGGCATCTTCACTATGGAATATATTGTGTTCATTCTTCATGCAAACCTTTGGCAGTGTTGCCTTCATGAATCTGAACAGACAAGAAAAGAAAAACACCCTTTTAAAATTAATCTCTTAACTGACCACATTCCATTTTAAATACTATACAAGGAAATATGTATATGCATTTGTATTTTTGTTATGGACTTGTAATTTAGTGTGTACATATGTTTTAGTGTAGCCAAACTAACATGTTTTTAAAAATAACTTACTTGAAGTGCTGTCACGTCCTGAGTCTTGCTGGGCCATGACAGAAATCAAAGTGGGAGCAACTTTTTGCCTTCCTCTTACTGTTATTCTATAAAATTACATTCCTTAATTAAGAATGAGAGCAATTGAAGGCAAGTATGTGCCCCAGGATAAAGTTGCAGGATTTAAGGGGGGACCAGAGGTTTTGTATTCTGACCTTTTGAACTCATGCTGGAGCCCATCTTAAGAGAACTTCTCTCTAGCAGAATGTGTGCTGTTCTGTGTGTGATATTTATATTGCCAGTTGTATCCTTTAAGATATCGATTGCGGTGTGTTAATGGCTGACTTTTAAGTTGTTAGCTGTCTTTTGCTTGAGCTGTCCAGCCTTTGCCTTCAAATACTTGATAGCCTGGTGGTAAATCAGCATTTCTGTTGACTCACGGGGGGGGGGGGGCTGTTTCCCAGACTTCAATCATATCCCTGGCTGTTTTTGTGCCTGCTAGTCCAACAATCTTAGTAGCTGCGAAGCTATTGCAGCTTTTGCCGCTACTAAGATTGTTGAACAAGCAGGCACAAAAACAACCAGAGGTCCCAGTGACCGATCCAATTGGATCCTGCATTATTTTTTCTGTAATTTAAGTAAACAAAACACAATGATGTACTTTCATTTCTCTCTCTGAAAAAAGGTTGAATGAAAATGTGTATGTTATTAAGGAATTCACAGAAAAGGCAATTTACCAGCATTCCAACCGCAATGAATTAACTATATTTCCTATAGTCTACTTTAAATGCTGGGTAATGAGACATAGGATTGCATGAAATATTTTTCAGTAACTTTGAGGACAACAGTTAGTAAAGTTTAGTACTTAGTTTGAAGTTTAATTCTACACAATGAAAATTGTTCAGGTTTCAGTAATTGTGACATGGACATAATTAGTGAATTTTTTTCTTGAAAGAATTACTGCTTTAATCCAAACCCAAGCCCCAAAATCTTTGCACAATCTTTGAATCGTTTCCAAATATATGAGTTGAGTAGGATAGTAGCAAAGAAAATAATTGTAAAAACTGTAGTACTTGAATAATGAATTTTCTGCAAGGAAGAAACTGTTCATGATCAAAAATTTCCCTCTCTTGTTGAAGGGGAAGTAGCTATTACTCTACAGTCTGGGTTATCATCAAAATTCAGGTCATCTGCTACTATGAAGAAAAGAGTCTCATTTTAGTATATGCTGTAAATATTCCTGCCTTTAGGCCAATTTTCTCTTTTCATTAGAGATATGTAATTTGTAGCCTCTTTCAGATGTTGCTGAACTACAGTACCCAGCAGCTAAATCTCTAGCTCAGTCAATGGTGTGGGGTGTGGATGTTGTAGTTCAGCAACATGTGGAAGAGACTACAATTTCATCTTCTTTGCTGACACATCTGCATCTGGCCCAAGCTGAAAAGCTGTTACAGTTTTTCTGCACTCCATCTCACCTGAAGCCAGGAAGCAAACATGCTATGGCAAGATTCCTGCTGGAAAAATTCATAGATAAATAGCCCTTTTCCAAGGTCAAATCCTTTCTATGTTTTCATTGTTGGAGCAGTTCATATTTGCATTAAGTGAATCCAAAATAATTTGAAAGAACATGACTTTAGATATTCCCTTCTCCCCTCATTATATTGTGAGAGATATACACTATATTGCCAAAAGTATTCGCTCACAACTGAGTCTGATTATGTGGATGGGTGAGCGAATACTTTTGGCAATATAGTGTCCCTTGTACATACCCTGCAGGTCATAGGATCTTGGTAGCAAATTCTGTAGTTTTCTCTCCTACTAATAATATATGACAATATAATGTCTACCGGTTCTAATGTATTGGTGGATACAGCTAGTCCTCAACTTACAATGGTTCATTTAGTGACTGTTCAAAGTTACAACGGCATTGAAAAAAGTGACTTATGACCACTTTTAACATTTACAACCATTGCAGCATCCCCATGAACACATGATCAAAATTCAGATGCTTGGCAATGGGTTCATATATTTGACGATTGCAATGTTCTAGGGTCCTGTGATCACCTATTGCAACCTTCTAACGAGCAAGGTGAATGGGGAAGCCCGATTCACTTAACAACTATGTTACTAACTTAACAACTGCAGTGATTCACTTAACAACTGCAGCAAGAAAAGTCATAAAATGGGGCATAACTCTCTTAACAAATGTTTCACTTAGCAACATACATTTTGGGCTCATTTGTAGTCGTAACTTGAGGACTACCTGTACTCTCTTGGTACTTAAAAAAAAAGTACCTATTGCATTCAACTATTTTGTAAGGATTCTTTTACCTAAAGGATATGCTATATTAGAAACTAGCATACTGTAGCGCAAAGAAAAAAATACCAGACTCTAGTATTGCCTTTATTTTCAAAATAGTCTGGGATTTATTTATGTGAAAGTCTTCCAGAAGGTCTATTTTTCCATGTCTATAAAATAGAGTAATTGTAATCTAAGGGACAGAAGACCTTGATTCTACCCACCTCTTAGTCTTAGCTACATTACATACTTACTTCTTTTTAATAGATGGAATAATGTAGAACTCAACTGATACACAAAAGCATCTCTTGGACAGAAGCCCCAGTTCTTGCTATTCCAGCCTCACAAAGGCTTTTTTTATACTCACAAATGACAATACAGTTTAAACAGTGTTAAAATGAATATGAAACCTCAAAGTCTGTCCAGATAATTTCATCTTGGAATGCAGTTCTCATACTTTCTTAATATCATATGCTATATTTGCATATGCATAAGCTTCATTCATATTCATTAGTATTCTGATGATATGCTATAAAACATGCATGAAAATCTGAGCTGTAGGAAGACAAAAGAAGTGCTAAACATACCTCTCCTCTTTCTCTTGATGAGCACTATGACAACTAATATGTAGGTAGCACAAATTGCTACACCAATGGAAGCCAGAATCCAGATAACCTGGTAAACTCTGCAATAATCACAGTTGCATTAATTAAAACAAGTTAATGGTCTGTTTGTAAGATTACCTTTGTACCTGAACCACAAAGTTATATTTTACATGGATTTCAGAAGGAAACACAAAAATGAAAACAGCTTCAACTTGGTAGGACACTACTGGAGTAAAAGAAAAAGACCTCCTACAGACAACTATACTAAATACTCTATCATGAATCTGAAAACTTCCAAGCCATAAAAAATAAGCCTGGGAATGCTCTAAAACAGGGATGTCAAACTCAAGGCCCGCGGGCTTAATCTGCCCTGCAGTATGCTTAGATTGGGCATGCAGGGCTGCCCTGGACAGAGTGAAGGACTGGCCCGTGATGTCTGCCAGCAAAAATGGGCTCCCAATCTCTGTTTTTTGCTGGCACAGCCTCCTGCAACCCTTTGCCAGTAAAAACTGAGCTTGGGGGGGGGGGGGCACATGCTTCCAAGCTCTATTTTTGCTGGCAGAGGGTTGCAGGAGGTCATTCCAGCCAAAAACAGAGATTGGGAGCCCGTTATAGCTTGCAGAGCACTCGGGCCATCATAGGCACCCAACCTCAACGTCAAGCTGGCCATGCCCACCCCAGCCCCCTGAGGTCAAACACAACCCTGATACGGCCCTCAATTAAACTGAGTTTGACACCCCTGCTCTAAAATATAACAATATGTTAATGGAACAGGCAAAAATCTACAACTGTATCTTTGCTTTGATAATTATTAAAACTAACTGCAGTGTCTCAAAGAGTGAATAAGTAAATAGATTCTGCAACAACCACAGTTTCTTGATGAATGTTTTCAAATTGCAATTTAAATGGTCGATACCTTTGTTCATCTTCGCTGGTCTTTTGCTGTTCTGAAAATAAAATCATAACAAAAAAGAATGTCAAAGGTATTGACATCATCATTGTTGGTCTTCATAGATAAGTTTTAAGTTTACCTTAGGATATTTTTTTATACGATGCAACATCTATTTCTTTTTCTAAAACTCCTCCTTTTTTGCCCATCAAGGTCTTAACATGGGCACAAACAGTTGTAGACTAAAGTAGACAATGTACAAGTTGTTGTGTCTTGATCTCAGACGTTTCTTGGTATGTGACGGCACTGCCCACGTTGTCCCCCCCCCCGTCCCAATTATCTGTTAGTGCTCACCTTTTTGAACAATCACCTTGATGTTTCTCAAAGGGATTATATTGAGGCCATCAAGAACCCCAAACCAATATAACCCTGTATCTTCTGGTTGAAGAGCTGACATGAAGACATAAATACATCCGTTTCCCAAATCATTTAGAATGACACGTTGATTTGGTTGTGTAGTGAGACCTTTCCATCCTGATCCGGAGAAGCTTATGGATTTTTCAAGACTGCACTCTTTCATCAGTTCCTCTTTGCACCACACTTTCTTTGCTTGCGCATGTTGCTGGGAACAAAAAATCTTGACACTGAGAGATTCTCCTTGTGTCCTGGTTACTTCTTGAGTCTTCATTCCATATATGGAGGAAGTAAATGGCATCCTAGATATTGGAGGTGATACAGTTTTACCAGACAAGAAATAACCTAGGAAAAGAGTAGTTTAAAAAAAAAAAGATAAGTTTGGTCTGTCATATCTAGTGGTCTTATACCTTACATGTTACAGCAATGAGTATGCAAAGCATTCAACACAGTAAGGAGAATGAAGCATCTGAATAATTAAAGAAATTTTGACTTTCGTGAAATTCACATGGTCATTCAAGAATTGTCTGTATGTGTATGTGCAGATATAACTGTTTTTGAGATTAATTAGGATTTTCAATTTAATGGCGTCTCATTAATCGATCTTAGCTGGCTCAGTAAATCTTTCATGGTCTTCGGGGAAAAAACAGTAACTATGAAAAAGGGCATTTGGCTAGGTTTGACACTGGGGCATTCAAGTGGTAAAAATAGATCAAAAGGACCCTGCATTAAACTATGCCTCCCTTTTAAATGTGTACTGCACACATGGCAAAGGTATCACAAGGATAGAGCTTCAATTGTACAGTTTTTTCCCCAATCCATTTTCTTTTATAGATGTACCTGTTCAGAATATTAAATTGATGATGAAAATGATATGCGATAATGCAAGTTATGTTGGTGTATTTTAACAAAAAATGGCATTCTGACAAAAATAAGTAATAGAATACAACAATACAACTGCCACAACACCTGTTCCTTCTGGAGCAAACTAATCTTAGTAGAGGGAGGGGTAGGAACAGAAACAGTCTTCCTGAACTATGGATATATTTTAAAGTACGCCTATATTTACCTGAGGCTCAAGTGAACTAAGGTATGTATCAAAATATAAGATTGTCCATCACAAATTCTCATACATGGCAGACTCCACTCATATGGCTTCTCAGTCTCTATACACCAGAGAAAATATGGTACCAGCATCAATGTCAGACCCCTATATTCTGAAAGTCCTTTTATCTGAGAAATGGTTACACACACACACACACACACACACACACACACACACACACAGAGAGAGAGAGAGAGAGAGAGAGACTTACTTATCCACCAATGCTTACCGTGCTCACCATGATGAACTACCAATTTAATTGATTTTATGGAAACCATTTTCATCTCGGCTAGAATTCCAAACCAATATCTCCCTGAATCTTCAATTTGGAGATTCTTCATGAGTACAGAAATGCAACCTTTCACTACACCTTCAAACATGATCTTTTGGTTTGCTTCAGAAGTCAGATATTGCCATCCTAGTTCTGTGGGATTTCTTGGATCTTGGAATCGGCATTCTGTGTGTTGTGTTTCTTTGCACCAAACGGGGTTTCCTTGCCAATATTGATAGGCACAGAAAGCTCTTATTCTGAGGGAGGTTCCTTGAATTAGTACCATCTCTTTTGGACTCTTTCCTGTGTTTTGCAAACTTGCAGTAGAAAGACTTGGGAACAAATAAGACGTACAGGATGCAAAAAGACCTGGAACAAAGACAGTATTGATAAAATTGATAGATCAAATCATTTAACTTAACTCTTGGCAACACAGGTTCTCCATGGGGGGCACAAATCTTTCTCAGCTTCAGCAGGATTGAATGAATGTATATTTGGAATTCTCTGGGACAGGCTGGCCACTCACAGAAAGATGCCCTAAAAGAGGAAGATATACATCCAATCTATGTCTCTTTTGTATATGCTTTGCAGGTGATGGAATTTACCTGCCATTCCTTCTGAAGTGGTCTGAACCCTTTTGCTATATGTGAGTTCAGCTCAATTGTGGTGCTAAAGTGAGCAATGGAGTTTCACATTGCTGACCCCCAAAAGGTTTTTCTCAAAAGACTATCTCAAAAAGCCTCGACAAACACAATGTGTTTTTAATGCATTTCAAATCTTAATTCAGAATCTATATGTAACCTACATGTAGGCTGCAAAACCAACCTGTACTTCCCTCCCTCCCTGCATTTCATTCCAATTTAAATCCCACATCAGTGTAGTCACTAACTTTATGTATTTGTTGAACAGTGGCCCTTTAATAAAATGTGTCAGTTTGGAAAGATCTACCAGACTCATCCTGATTTCTCACTACTGTCTAGTCATTACTGGCATGCATTAATAGCACTTTGGTGACTTTTTTGACAAAAGAATGCTTTATCTATAAGAAAAAAGTATTTGTTGATAGCACTCTCACTCAGCCTGAAAGTACATCTAGCTAAACAGATTTTGATCTCTTAGAAAAGTGGCACAAAAAGTATGACATCCCTTTTGTGACCTCAAAATCCTTGCAGTTGATGGGGCTAAAAAATGCTCCCACTTTCTATTTTTGACTGAGTTCAAAAGTGTGTATCTTCAGCCTATAGCTGTTAAAGGTACTATCTCATCACTTAAAACTTCTGAAATCCCCTCCCAAAATCATTCCTGGCTCTTCACATGCTGTATGGATTTGGGAGTAGCCCCTAAAGCCAACAGAAGTTGCTCACCTATTTTATCATCTCAGTATAAATCCCTAATATTAGTGAAGTGTAAAAGCAAACTCCATGCACCTTACATGATATAAATGAAGCCTGAGTAGGAATATGTAGAATTAGGTATTTTCCCATTCTTTCTGGAAAAAATAGGAACCAAACCAAACATTCATTTGCATCAATTATTAGAAAATGGATAAGCAGAGCCTCACAATATCATTGAACTTCTATATTGATCAAGAAAAGAGAGTATTCAGTATCATACCTGTGAGCATCAACACTAGTTGGAGGCCTGGGAAAACTTCCATCTTGTAACTGATCTTGAGCAGAGAAGGCTGTGGGTAAATGTGCCCTTGCAGAAAGGAAACAAATTCCCTTTGTCATTGTCACTGTCGATCTGGATCTGTGTGAAAATGCTTTGCAATGTCAATAATTTTAATGGTAAGTTGTCTGACATGGATTGCACCCAGATGCATCTTAACATGTGTGCATCCAGATTCATGCAGGTGTGATTTTTGAATAGTGGAGTAGTGGTGGAAACGTTCATCCCTTTGAGATACTTTTTAAACAAACAAATCTGTATGCAAATAATAGTGACTGCGTCTGAATAATTCATTCACTAACTCACTCACTCATTCATTCTATATGACTCCGAGCTGCTAAAAAGAATAAAAATATCACAAAAATATAAATAGCAAATAGAATAGCCAAGATGAAACCAACCAGCATGGTTGACAAACTCAATTACACAATCTGGACCCCAGGCTTGGCCAAGTTTTTAAGGCCTCACAGACAGTAAGATTGGGGCAAGTCTAAACTCTCGTGAAATTATGTTCCAGAGGGCAGATACCACAACAGGAAAAAACTCTCCTCAAGAATCTGTCAGGTGCACTTCCCAGTAGACAGGACCTTGGGCATGACCCCCCCTTCCCCAATGAATCTCACAGGATAGGTAGATACAACTGGGGACAGATGCAAGTAACTTGGCCCCATCTCATGTTGGTGCCTATGCTCCAGAAAACATTAAGGTTAGGGTTTCTTTTTATAGTTAATTAAATATCATTCTTCTACAGTTGTGTATTAAATAATTTCCTGCCTCGTTCATATTCAAAATTACAATTTGGTAACCAGTTTCAGATATCTGGATGTGCATCCAGGGGCTTTGGAGGCTATTGAATGCTCTTCTGGGACTTCCAATTCTACATCTTTATATTAGAGAAAGATGCTTTTGCTATTTGCCTCCTTAGGCATCAGATTCATGATGTAATTTGTCTTATTACTCATTACCCATGTTGCCCATTCTTGCATGCTCAAAAATGTTACAAAGAGGGCATCATAAAGGTTTGTGATATGTGAACGTGTGTTTTTGGTAGGATTTGCTATTTTTTTATCACGCGTTGGCTCATTGGCTAAGACGCTAAGCTTGTTGATCAGAAAGGTTGACAGTTCGGTGGTTTGAATCCCTAGCTCTGTGTAATGGAGTGAACTCCCATTACTTGTCCCAGCTTCTGCCAGCCTAGTAGTTCAAAAGTATGTAAACATGCAAGTAGAAAAAATAGCAAATCCCCTTTGGTGGGAAGGTAACAGAGTTCCATGTGCCTTAGGCATTTAGTCATGCCAGCTACATGACCATGGAGATGTCTTCGGACAGCGCTGGCTTTGAAATGGAGATGACCACTGCCCCCTAGAGTCAGAAACGGGGAACCTTTACCATTATCATTTCACTTATTTATGAAGTTAGCTGATAAAGAACATATTGTGGTTATTACTGATATCCAAAAGTTTGCATGAAAGATAGTGTTCATGTACACGAACATACTGTATTTTTCAGAGTATAAGATGCACCTTTTTCCCCCCAAAAAGAGGGTGAAAATCTGGGTGCATCTCATACAATGAATACAGCATTTTTTGCCTCCAGAAACCCCGCCCCCGCGCATCCCATTATTTGCAAAAATGGATGTGCAGAACATTTGGGAAGCCTGCAAAGTGCTCTTTGGGGTTGG